GCGTTCGAGATCGATCGTGACTTGCGCGCGAGCCTGCAGCGCTGCTCTTGAGCGGTCGCAGGCCTTTGGGCCGCGGCCGCAAAGGCTGGCCTCCGGGCCGCCAAGACGCAGGCCTATGGGCCGCGACGGCTGGCCTCCGGGCCGCCAAGACGCAGGCCTATGGGCCGCGAAGGCTGGCCTCCGGGCTGCCAAGACGCAGGCCTATGGGCCGCGAAGGCGGGCCTCCGGGCCGCCAAGACGCAGGTCTATGGGCCGCGAAGGCTGGCCTCCGGGCCGCCAAGACGCAGGCCTACGCGGCCGCCAAGACGCAGGCCTATGGGCCGCGAAGGCTGGCCTCCGGGCCGCCAAGACGCAGGCCTATGGGCCGCGAAGGCGCAGGCCTATGGGCCGCGAAGGCTGGCCTCCGGCTTGCGGGCCAAACAGTCACGGCGCGGTGAAAGCGCGCTCGCACTTGTGTCTTGTCTGATTGCTAATATGCAGACACACAAACAGACACATATATATATATATACATAACACATATATTTTTTATATGTATACATGTATATATATATATATATGCGTATATACTTGCGCTCCGCTGCCGTTTCGGCCCGCAGTCTGGCGCGCCGCGAGCCGCGCGCGCGTCAAGCGACGGATGGCCCGAAGAGCCATCCTGAAGGCCCGCGCAAAGCCGAGCCCGAGCCCGAGCTCAAGCAGCAGCGGCAGCGAGGACGAAACAAAGTCGCGCACGGGCAGCAGCAGCAGCAGCTGTAGCAGCGTCAGCATGCCAGCGCCGACCGATGGCGCCTCGCGCCCGGGTGCTGTGGCAGAGCCTCCTGCCACCTCGGCGGAGGGAAGCGGCGCGGCAGCGCTTCCCTCAGCCCCTGCCGAGCGACCTCGGTCGCCGGAGCTGCCACCGCGGAGGCCGCCGTCGGAGCCCGTGGGCACTGGCGGCGAGGGCGGCGAGGGCCGCGAGGGCCGCGAGAGCGGCGAGGGCCGCGAGGGCGGCGAGGGCCGCGAGGGCGGCGAGGGCGGCGCAAATGCGGCCGGCGAAGGCGGCGAGCAGCCCGCACGCCGCCGCACGCGGGGTGGCTCGCGGCGGACTGCGAGGACCGACAGCTCGTCAAAGTGCATGACGTGCTGGCGGTGGATCGCGGACGGCGAGTGGTCGTGGCAGCAGCATAGGGCTTCCGACTACCACAGGTTCTGGGCCCGCAAGTCGGCTGCAGAGCCTGCGCCTGCTTGGATCGGCTGTGTGCTTAATAGTGACTTGCCATGGTTACTGCCTCTGCTAAATATTTTGTAAAAGTCAAGTAAAGCCTTAGTAACAAGTTGTAAGTGCTTATAAACAGCGTAAAGTGCTGATTGAGTTAATGCTCTTACATAAAAAATAGCTAACATGTGTAAGTGTACTAGTTAAAGTAGCTAGTTTATAAGTAGTTAGCTACAGGATTAGCTAACTTTTGACTTTTGCTTAGCACACTTCTTAATGGGCGAGTAAGGTAATAGTAAGGTATGATTTGTTCTTGCCTTCAATAGTGCCGCAAAGGGCCAAAGCAATCTCAAATGTTGTTTGTACCGGTCTGGGATTCCTTTAGCATATGATTTGCGCACCTCTTTGAGGCATGCAGCTTTGTCAGTTTGCTGCCTCATTTTGTTTGATAGTAAGCCCATTGGGCTATGGTTTTGTTATCAGCCTGCACAGGCTCGCAGTTAACAGGGCATCGCTGAGCTTGTATTTTGGAATTGCCATGCTGCAATGCCCCTTGCGTGTGGCACCATTATCAGCCCCTTGGGCTTCTGATGTTTCTTTTCAGCCTTCACAGGCTCAGCCTTCTTGTCTAGAAGCCATGAGCTGCTGCGGCTTTCAGCCTGCGCAGGCTTGTGTTGCATGCATGCTTTCAGTGCTTCATGGAGTTGTGCAACTATAGAGGAGCAGCAAGAAGCACCTGCCCAGCACATGCGCAGCACAAGGAACATGCAGAGTTTCATGACCAGCAAGCGAAGCATGACATTACAAGGCAGCCGTCACCAAGCTGCTAGTGCTGCAGCCCCATGCCATGGATGATGCTTTGAAAGCAGAGATTATAGCAGTGAGATGTGATGAAGGGCTTCAGATCAACAGAAAGTGTCAGGTCATTTTGAGCAAGCTGCAAGCTGCAGGCTTGCTGTGGGAGCAGAAGGTGAAGCCTGTGCAGTTGCTGGTGCATCCCAGCAACCGATCTGGGGCCATGCTCAACAGCTTTGACATGCATGCCAAAGGAGCCATGGTTTTGACCATGGGGTGCTTGGTGGACAAGCTGAGTGACTCCTTGGCTTTTGAAATGGCAAAGGAGCCAGGCCAGAAGCAGACGCAACTGCAGGCAAACCTGGAGCTGGTAAGCGCGTCAGAGAACAAAATTGCCCCAGTGCTCTCCACAGAAAGATATTTGACAGTGGCTTGCTCCCATGTGGGCATGTTTATGAAAACAGTGGCAGCAGGCACTTGCAGCACAGAGCACGAAGAACTTGCCAGGGTGAACAATGGCCTGCTGACCTTGGACAGTTTGCTTTCAAAGTATGCAGACCCGGTCTTAGAAGCTTTGATCAAGGAAGGCTGGACATGGAAGGTGATCAGCGCAGAAGTGGAAGAACACCTTGAGTGGCTCCCCGGGTTCTTGCAAGGCAGCTTGAACACTTCTCAACAGGTGGCAAGCACGCCCACGGAGATGGAGCAAGCAATGAGCTTGGCTTTCTGGTACAGCAGGAGCAAGGACTTGGATGTTGCCATTGCCCAGACCGCAGCCTGCATGCCACTCAGGGCTCACTATGTGCCCATGATTGCTCAATGGGTAGCAAAGTATGGTGGAGGTGAGGAGTTCCCTTTGGTGAAGCTTGCAGAGTCCATCAGTGACTGGTTTGCATTAACTTAATACCAAGGCTGGTTTGCTGTGAGCTGTGTAAGGCAGACAAGCTGGAGGTGCGCTACAGCTGGGGGAGGAATTTCTCAGCCATGTGGTGAACCTTGACTTCAGAAGCAGCTCAACAACTTACCCAATGCTGAGGACAGCCCTCATTGCCACACAGCTTACTTCGCCCAAAGCTGTCCAGAGAGATGGCTACGGTAGGCTGTTGAGCAAAACAGATGTGGACAAGCTCAAAGGCCAGGCTTTCGGCAGCATGGTCAGTAAGGCAGAGTTGCTGTTGGTGAATGCTTGGAACTTGGCATCCAAGACACCATGCTTGGCATGGGACAAGAAGTGCTTGGCCTTGGGAAGGTTTATGTGCAGATTGGTCCTGTTCATGCTGAACAAGCAGGCCAAAGGCAGGGAGAAGAAGTCCTATGACAGCCTGGAGCAAATCAACACTCTGTTTTCAGAGGACTGGTCTGCCATGGTGAAGGATGGCAAGATTGCTCCTGCTGCGCTTGCAGCCAGTGGTGCTGCATCTTCTGGCAGTAAACCCCCTGTCCCTTTGCAGAACACAGCAGACCCTAAGTTCATTGCGATGTCTGCCAACCCTCACTTGGAAGTTGGCAAATGCTACACCAATGCAAAGTATCCTGGCCAAATTTTCAAATTCACTGAGATGCAGGCTTCTTTTGCCAAGATGACGCACGCCCCTCTGTTTGGCAGCCCTGTGACAGTGGATGTGCAGCATGATGAGCTAAAGACTTGGAAAGTCTGCTACTCGAAAGAGCCTGCCCTGATTGACGGCAGCATTTTGACGAAGATGCAGCCAGCGAATTCAGAGCAGCTCCAGGTAGACAAAGCCAAGGCAGTGCTGCAAACTGCCATCTATGACTTGTACTTGGAGCAACCTGCCTTGGAAAGACATGCTAGTGGCAAGTGTTTTTAGGAATTGTTACATGTTGCTTTGTGAGGGTTGCTTTACCGTGCCTGCAAGCCATCCCAGGAGTCATGAGCCTGAAGTCTTGATGTCAAGCAGCAACCAGATCTTTGCCAGCAGTAGTGTCAAGAGAGGTGGACTGAAGTTGTTACCCTTGGGGACAGTGGTGGAAGCAAAGCCTGACAAAAATGCAAAGAATGTTGTGGTGCTGACTTACCCTGGCCTGGAAACTAAGTTTCAGATTGCGCCTTGCAAAGTGGATTTCAGAAAGGAAGCTGGGCTATTTGTGCCATTCAACTTCATCAAGCACGCACCTGAAGGCGAAGCTGGCAACATGGAACTGACCAGCATGAAAAAGGACGGCATTATAATTCCACTGTATAGGAACAAGAGGCCCCTTGACAGAGGGGATGAGCTGCTTTTGGACTCAGCGTCCAGAATGCTAGACAGTGCTTGTGGGAAGAAGGCAAAGAAGTCTTCAGCATGAAGCTGCAGCATATAACGGTGTGTCTGAATAAAGGGGCGCAAGCTGTGCCTGCAAGCTTTCTTGGAAGCATTGCATGGGCTTGCAAGGAGTTGCGTTGTGTGCACCCAGTCTTGGTCACATGTTGGAAGCTCGTTAGTTTTGGCAGGCTGCTATAGGCTCAGCCTTTGGCAGGCTGTTTGGCTTAGCCTGCGGCAGGCTGATTCCTTAGCCTTTTCAGGCTGCTCAGGTTCAGGGCTCAGCCTTTGGCAGGCTGTTTGGCTCAGCCTTGCGGCAGGCTGATTCCTTAGCCTTTTCAGGCTCATCAGGTTCAGGGCTCAGCCTTTGGCAGGCTGTTTGGCTTAGCCTGCGGCAGGCTGATTCCTTAGCCTATTCAGGCTGCTCAGGGTCAGGGCTCAGCCTTTGGCAGGCTGTTTGGCTTAGCCTGCGGCAGGCTGATTCCTTAGCCTATTCAGGCTGCTCAGGGTCAGGGCTCAGCCTTTGGCAGGCTGTTTGGCTTAGCCTTTTCAGGCTCACCAGGTTCAGGGCTCGGCTCAGGCTTTGGCAGGCTAGTTGGCATTGCTTGTGACAAGTGGGTTCCTTAGCCTTTTCAGGCTTATCAGGCTTAAGCACCTTGGGCGCATGATGCCTGAGACGCCCCAGCTGTCTGCTGCAGCATCTGCGCCAATAGGCTGGTGGGTGCTTCTTAGTTAGCCACTGCTCAGCCATGGCTGGGAAGGTGGAAATCACGAGGGCCGTTGCCTTGACTTCTGATGGAACCACCCAAGCAATTCCTGCAGAGCTACTGCGAGATTTTGATGGCACCACATTCCTGAAGCTCAGAGGCTCCAAGCCAGAGATTGCCAAGCTGGTGTGTGGCTCATCCTGCCGCTTGCCCAAGAATGCTTCCCTAGCCAATGGTGCTAAGATGCAGGAGCTGAAAGCCAAGAGGCTGGCGGCTTGGCAGAACGTCTGCCTGGAAGAAGCAGAGCAGGAGGAAGACAATATATTTGGCGGCGGTGATTGCAATCCCACAGAAACAAATGCTCCTTCAAAGAAGAGGCAGAGGGAGGATTGTGTTGTCACTGTGGATATTTTCGGAACTGATGTCAAGGTCTTTTGTCCTGGCAAAAGGATGCAGCAAAATGATGTCCAAGTTGCACTGGATGAGAGCCAGCTCAGTGCTGTATTCCAGTTTTTGAAAGCAGACTGCCCAGCAGCACCTAGCAGCAAAAGGCAGTATAAGAAGTCTGGCAGATACTCTGCCTTGTCCAAAGAGGATGAGGAAGATGAGGAATGTGAGTAGGGCGCAGGTGCACAAGCTCAATGGGAAAAAGTCCACCAGACATGTCAGAGCACAATGCATGTGTGTTGCTGGAGTCCCGGAAGCAGCCAAACACAATCCTCCAAAAGGTTGCGGGGTGCTTTGTAGCTCGAGGTAGCAGATGTATTTGTGTGCGCTTTTAAAGAGCATTGAGTCAGCCTCTTTAGGCTTGGTTGCAGCTCAGCCTTATCAGGCTTGTTTCAGATTTTTATGAGCGCTGTGACAAGGCATTCGTAAAGCTTGCACCCATCGCAGGTTGGATCACTGCACAAGCATCTTGACAATGTTCAGCCTTACAGGCTTCATATGGTAAAAGCCGCATTCATGTTTACACCAGCAGACATACACTCTGGACCACACACTGTTCAGCCTCTTCAGGCTCCTTTCATGCCACTTTGTTTAGCCTTCTCAGGCTCTATACGTTTTGTGCGAGCTTGCTTGGGACAAGTGTGCCCAGCACCGAGCAACATGGCTCAAGATGAGGAGAGCTTCGCGGAGCTGGTAGCGAGGCTGCAAGTGGCCGGCCCGGAGCCGGACATGGAAGCCATGGAGAACACAGGAACGAGCCCGGTGGCTACAGATGCTGCAGAAGAAGACAAGGCTGCAAAGGCCGAAGAAGAGATGGCGGACGCCACAGAGACAGAGGTGGCACCAGCCAAAAAGAGTCAAGAAGAAAGCTGGCCGGAGCAGGAGAAAGGCCAGGAAGAAAGCCGGCCGGAGCAGGAGGAAGGCTGGGTGTGGAAAGAAGGCCAATGGGCCTGGTGTATGGGCAGGCAGGAGTGGGCCTGGCTGAAAAGTGAATGGGTTTGGCTTGAGGAGCAGGTGGCCTGGGCACAGCCCCAGTGGGTCTGGCCAAGTGGTGCCGGGGACTGGGTGTGGCGTGATGCTATGTGGGTACAGCTGCAGGCGCCGGAGGACAAGCCGTACCCGACGGAGCGGGGATGGCAGCCGCACGCAGGCATGATAATGCCGCAGGAATGGCAGGGCCAGTGGTTTGTGCCACCAAGCCCTGCGAGTGGCGAGGAGGAGGACCCAAGCAGCCAGGCTGTGCAGGATGAGGTCATGGAGGACTACGGCAGCGAAGAGGGAAAGGCCAAGAGCTTTCTCGAAGTCCTGCGCATGCAGGAGGAGGCCGAGGAAGAGGAGCGAGCAGCCAAGCGGCAGAAGTTCACGGAGAAGTCCACGGGGAGCAATCCCCAGAAGCCGAATGCAAACCAGATCTACCCGCAGGACTTGTTTGCGCCGCATGTCCGTATTTCTGAAACTGCCATGCATGTTTTTGCCAGACCAGCTCAGCCTTTGTTTTGCAGGCTTCTGGCTATTTTACCCAACCGAGAGCAATCCATTAGGAGCAACCCATTAGACTTCATCCATACTGATCTGTCTCATTTACTAGTAGCAACTCTTGGGATGATCTTGATGTGTTGGACAACCTTGTGCATAGCTGTGAGGTGTGTTTTAGCCTGGCAAGAGGCTTCATCCAATGATTTTTTTTAGATCTCACCAAATGGACTTGCATCAGGACAAGAAGAAGATCAACCGAGGCAGCGGCTGGAAGATGAAGACAGTTCCGCTGGTGGCGCACGTGATGAACGAGGACTGGGGCCAGGCAAAAGCAGCTGCCCGGTCGATGTACGACGAGGCGGCGATGCAGCCATGGGTGGACAAGTACATGCAGCAGATGAGCACTTTTGGCCGAAGCGACCGCTGGAAGGCCTGACATGTCACTGTGGAGGAGGTGGAAGAAGGAAAAAAGAAGCTGCTCAACTGATTATTTAGGTGCATGTTTAGCCTACGCAGGCTGTCAATCCATGTTCAGCCTCACGAGGCTACATGTGGAGCTTCAGCCTCAGCAGGCTGCACATTTTCATGGTCAGCCTCAACAGGCTATGTTTGAAATCAAGATCAGCAGTAGATGCTAACAAAGCAGATGACACTGAGACATTATCAGCCTTGACAGGCTTTTACAGTAGTGCTCAAGCCGAACCTACTCACAATTTCAAGATTATTTCCACACGATTGACATGGTTCAGCCTTGGCAGGCTTAACAGCGCCACTCAGCACCACCAGGAAGCAGGAGGATTCATTTCTTGAGTTTAGAACTAGTCAGAAATGCCTAGTGTGAGTCTACACATTTAGCACAGTTGCAAAAGTATACTGAAACAGATTGAGGTTGAAAACAAAATAAAAATAAAAAACAAATGCCAACGTGCATGAGAAAGGTTAAGAAACATGTGATGGTTACTCTAAGTCACACTGGAGTGATGATATCACTGTCATAAATCTGAATTGAGCACCAACCGAATGAAGTTTGAATTCAGAATTTTGAATTGGAGGATCAAAGGCATGATTTCTCATGTATAAAACCTGAATTGCAAGAACAAGGGCATCAATTTTCACTTCATAAATGTGAATTGGAAAATTAAAGGCAAAACTTTCAATTCAGAAATCTGAATTGAAAATCAGGGGTATGTTTTTTCAATTCAGAAATCTGAATTGAAAACACAAGGTTGTGAAATTTCAATTCAGAAATCTGAATTGAAAAACAAGGTTGTGAAATTTCAATTCAGAAATCTGAATTGAAAATCAAGGTTAAGTAATTTCAATTCAGAAATCTGAATTGAAAATCAAGGTTGTGTAATTTCAATTCAGAAATCTGAATTGAAAATCAAGGTTGTGTAATTTCAATTCAGAAATCTGAATTGAAAATCAAGGTTGTGAAATTTCAATTCAGAAATCTGAATTGAACAAATCAAGGGTGTATAAATTGAATTCAGAATTCTGAATTGAAAATATCAAGAATCTAAAGCCTAAATGCAAATTTGCTGAAGTGGAAATGTAGCTCCATGATTTCCAATTTAGATTTCTGAAGTTGAAACTCATTATGATTATGCAGGTCTTGTGATCTTTCTTGAGGATGGACACACCAAATTGATAGTGCATCTTTTATCTTTCATGTTTGAAACCGAAGGATGAGATATCCACTTTGGTATTTTGACATATGACTCCGTATGTTTCTCACAACATGCCAGTCCTTCGAGACTTAAATTCTTGCCTCGTAAATTATGCATCATCATATTGTACATGCATGTGTTCACCGGCTGTGGTTTTTGGGGTTTGGTGTAGCGCCTACACCTTTCCTAAAATTGCATGTGTTTTTTTACAATCTTCCTTGAACTTGTACATGATTAGTATAGCTTTCGACCAGTTATGGATGTACAGATGCACCAGCTACACAAACACAGAGCATCATGAGTGTACCAGTATCAGCACAACCAGCCAACATGACAGGTTGCAAGGTAATTGCGGGTGAGCAGGCTGCATGCCAGCAGATTGAGCTTGCATTTTGCAATGGCTGCACAGAAAGTTGCATTTGTTATAGCTGCATGTGCTGAGTTGTCAGACGAGTCAGAGAAAGAAGGTTTACAGATTAGGATGGTCTCACAAGGATGGCCTTTCACTGGGACTTGCGAACTGCTGCATAGATAAATATGAGTTCTATTTCAAACGCATTTAACCATTCATCCAAGGAGCATTGCACGGGCTTCAGAGTGTTTTGCATCTGTTGGCAATTTAGTTCAATAGGTTTGGAAGCCTTGCATCTCCAAAGACAGAGTGTGCATCAGTTGTTTTTTACATTGTTAAACTAACAACGTGAAGCACAGCATTGCTATAGAGACACGTTCAGCCTTTTCAGGCTGTTTGTTTTTGTGCGTTTGCAATTCAAATCTTCTGAGCACATTTGTTTTGTTGGTGGGAGGTTTGCCTTGTGATTTGAATGTGCTAGTGCCTTTTAGGATTCTGCTGCACTTGGTTTGAGGGCTGCGTGTTTGCAGGAGGATCCCAATCAAGCTTGCTCTCCAAGTTGACACTTGACACCGGTAGCTATTTTGGCGGCAGGTGTCCAGGCTTCACCTTGCTCTAGCAATGTGGTCGGTAGCTGACATGGAGTCTGAGCTGGTGTCTGCAAGACAGCTCTTGCAGGCGCGGCCAGGCCATGAGCCTTTGATGCATGGGCTGGGCAGCGCCCTCAATGGCAAGCTTGAGGCCATGATTGTCGGGCCCTCCCAACTTGTTCAGTTGTATGACTTGGTCAAGGGCAGTGGCCTACCCGATGCCATGAAGAATCCCATGCTGCACATCTTGGATGAGAAGAGCATGGGGAAGGCTAGTGGCCCATGTAAGGTTACAGCAGTGCCACAGCAGGTGGACTGGATCAACCACTATCTCACTGCAGGGGAGCATGAGAAGCTTGGGCAGTGCAGCCCTTGTGCCCATGTAGTGTGCAAGAGGCTGAGGCTGATGGGAGTCAAGAGCTTGAAAGAGTCTTCCAAGAAGGTTGTGACAGCTTTGCTCATTTCTTGTGAGCTGGCAAGAGGAGGTGCTAGGCCTAGCCATGAAAGCATTTACCTTCTGAGCCAGCATGTGGGCCATTGCTTTCTGACATGTGCCACTGCCGCTCCACCTGGGGCTGCAGCCTTGCAATGCTATCCGGCAGACCCTTTCCAGCTACCCGAAGCCCACTTGCAGGCTTCATATGGTACTGACAAGCCTGTGGCCAAAGCTTACCCGGAGATGGCAAACCTTGTGCAGTACCATGTGCCTGTTAGGTCTACTTCTGCCAAGGTGAGAGGTGCCAAGGTTGAGGCCCAGCAGAACCAAGCAACGAAGAAGCAGGAGGCTTTGCCCATGGCGACAGCTGCTCCTCAGCTTTGGCAAGTGGCAGCTCAGGACATGCTGCAGGGCATGCTTGCAAGCTTCATGCAGCAAAGCAAGGATGTCTTGAATGGTGGCACCTGCAACCTCCAGTTTTTGACAAAGAGCACCGGTAGTTTGCCCTTGGTGCCATCAAGAAGGAATGTGCTTGATGACCAAGAGATGCCTGCAAAGCAAGAGCACGCCCCAGCTGTTCCTGAGGACAAGCAGCCAGGAGCCAGTGCTGAGCCGGAGGATAAGGCTGAGGAAGCACCAAAGGAAGAGAA